CCGAGTTGGTAGCGGTGTACTAACCGCGGCACCACCGTTCCCCACACATGACACACGCGTCACACATATCGCACAGACACACGCAAACTTGGCACACCGTTGACCGAGCAACAGGTTTTGTGCATCCTATAAACACAGATCACATTTTCAAGGACGCGCTTGACCTAGCGCCTGCGCAATGACGCAGGAGGAGCATGTCAAGGAGAACTGGAGGTACTACCCTAATGGCAGAGTTTCTTTCTGTGCCATAGCGACCCGCAGACTCGCACAGAGACCCACAGACTCGCACAGAGACCCACAGACTCGCACAGAGAAGCACAGACTCGCACAGAGACCCACAGACTCGCACAGCGACCCACAGACTCGCACAGAGACCCCGCAGACTCGCACAGAGACCCCGCAGACTCGCACAGAGACCCACAGACGCGCACAGAGACCCAGAGACTCCCACAGAGACCCTGCAGACTCGCACAGAGACCCAGAGACTCCCACAGAAACCCCACAGACTCCCGCAGACTCCCACAGAGACCCACAGACTTTGTTAAGTGGAAACCAATGCATCGAGTTGCATTGGTTTATCAGGCTATACATTGCTTATGAGAGTAGAGTAAGGAGAAACGAGTTGTATATTCAGCGACTTTGCATGCTTATTACGACGCTTGTGGGGGGTGACGCTGCTGCTGTGTGATTGCGATTGAGTAATTCGCTTTTTCAGAATTGGGTTCTTTTGGTAAAACCAGTTACTGTGTGTGTGCTTGGCTATGGGAGGAAACTGGAGACCCCAGAGGAAACCCACGCAGAACAGCGTGAGATCATACAAACTCCACTCTGTAGAACAGGGGGAGATCATACACACTCCACTCTGTAGAACAGGGGGAGATCATACAAACTCTACTCTGTAGAACAGGGGGAGATCATACAAACTCCACTCTGTAGAACAGGGGGAGATCATACAAACTCCACTCTGTAGAACAGGGGGAGATCATACAAACTCCACTCTGTAGAACAGGGGGAGATCATACAAACTCCACTCTGTAGAACAGGGGGAGATCATACAAACTCCACTCTGTAGAACAGGGGGAGATCATACAAACTCCACTCTGTAGAACAGCGTGAGATCATACAAACTCCACTCTATAGGATCGGGGGTGATCATACAAACTCCACTCTGTAGAACAGGGGGAGAACATACAATCTCCACTCACTCTGTAGTACAGCGTGAGATCGTACAATCTCCACTCTGTAGATCAGGGGGAGTACATACAAACTACACTCTGTAGATCAGGGGGAGTACATACAATCTCCACTCTGTAGAACAGGGGGAGATCATACAAACTCCACTCTGTAGAACAGGGGGAGATCATACAATCTCCACTCTGTAGATCAGGGGGAGAACATACAATCTCCATTCTGTAGAACAGTGTGAGATCGTACAATCTCCACTCTGTAGATCAGGGGGAGAACATACAATCTCCACTCGCACTCACTCCGTAGCTCAAGGGGAGGTGAGACATTTAGAACAGGATAGGCGCCCGATTCAGGAATCTTGGGACCCGGCAGGCTCCAAGTTGCGTTGGGGCACGAGCGCCGCCACCGCCCAACGTTTGTGTGCGTGCGCCCGTGTGACTAATCCGCTCCGTGGTGTGCCCCCGGTAGTTCTTCGCAAACGGGCACGTTGTTGTTGTCCGTAAACACGGTCGCTATTTTAAGGCTGTGAGCAGTCTTGCGTTGCATTGGCACGGGGGGGTGGGGGGGTGTAGTGGGGTGGGAGGTTGCAGCCACCGTGATGGCTCGCAAGTCTGGACCAGCAGCTGGCACCGGAATACCGAATTGAAACTCGCCTGGACACAACCAGCTTGGATGCCTGTGGTTTTGCGATTTGAGAGAAGGGGTTTTGGCGTAATTTTTCTTGGTTGTACTAAACATTTTTATTTTCAATAGGTTATTTTTTTAAGACTGTTTCCTTGTTGTAAGATACTCTGGAAAGTATACGCACCCGGAACTGCTGTCCCCCTGGTATCAATAATAATGTTATGTAGACCTGGTCTCGCAAAGACAAAGGTCGCGTATAGCCTTCACAGGCTTTTTGGGTCAAGTGCTGCTCGCGAGCGGTGGGTGGCCAGCACCACGCCCGGCCCCATTTGTCTCCCCAGTGGTGACCTTTACGTATTGCAAACAGTTTGGCAGTACCCTCCCGAAGCGGCCCTCGGGCTGGGTGAGACTCTCTCAGGCAGGGGGGTCCCCAACCCCCCGGGCCGCGGACCGGTTCTGGTCCGTGGCCTGTTAGGAACCAGGCCGCACAGCAGCACGAGGTGAGAGCGGTGAGTCCACGCGTGGCCCCCCGCCCATTATTTTATTATTTACCACTTCCGTCCCGCGCCTCTTTCCCGCACTGCGCACTTGTCAAAGTTTTGGTGAGCCCACAAGCCAACCCTAGTAGCCAAAATGAGTAAAAAACAAACGTTCTTTGAAAAGGGGGAAAGACCCAATGATGACCCCCCACCCCACCACCGGTCCGTGAAAAAATTGTCTTCCACGAAACCGGTCCCTGGTGCCAACAAGGTTGGGGGCGGCTGCTCTAAGGGGCAGACAAGAGCCTGGTGAGTCGAAGCGATGTGGGCACGTTTCCCAAGTCCCCTCTTCACCTCCGTCCACCCAGCGGTATATCTATTGGCCGCACCGCAGTTGAACGGCAGGGCCCTGTGTGCAGTGGGGTAAAGTGTGGGTACGCCCGGCCACTTCCAGCGCGTCTGGTCAACGCGAAAGAGTAGACAAAGAGTACCCTCTAGAGTTCGCTGTAGAGGAGGAGGTCCCTGTCCGTGTATAAATTGATGTATCGTGTTTCACTCAAGACAACGACAAATACTAAATTGCTGATGGAGGCTGACCTGATACAGTAGACTAACAGATGGCACTGCAGTCTTGATTCCTTGCCCCGCACTTCCGATTAGCACGGTTGGCTACGTCCGGCACGAAATAATTTCAACCTGCACACTTAGAGTGGACTGGCAGCAGTGCTCTGTGAATCCCTGTAAAAACCAATGAGACGTGTCTCTAAGTGGTCCTTGGAACAATAGACACACAGACCGGTGTATCGATTGTCTTTGTTGCGTGCCCCCCCCCCCCCCCCCATTCCATGTGTGACCTCTGTCTTGGTCACATTCCACTTTGTTGGCAAAACAAACAGACTTCAAAGGCGCTTTCAAACCACGTCGTCGGCGTTACGCGCGCCGCGTGGTTACGGCGCTCCGTCTGCGATGGGTGTCCCGGCGCTACTGCAGGTGCCAGGGGTGTGCCTCAAACTTTGGACTCGTGATTGATGGCCGTGTCGGGGAAGCGGTGGCCTGCAATGTGGCGGTGACGCTCCCCGGCGGTTTAGCGCGGTGCCCGCTTGCTTGGCAGAGTTTCGCGGTTCGTGCCCGTTCAGGATGTTAAACCCCTCGCCCAGACCCTGACGCCTGCTGCTGTATATTAGGAGTTTGCGTGTTCTGCCCGTGGTCGTGTGGATTTTTTTTCAAGGTCCTCCCGTTTTTTTCCTCCATTTAGAATCAACATCACACATTTAGAGTATTTGGCAACTGTACATTTCCACTTGACAAGCCACTTGGTTGAGCCGTCATTTGCGATAGGCAGGTTACTTCTAAAAAACAGCTACACAACTTCGTGGGTCCCTCACCTGGTAAACTATATATTTTTTTTTATTCCGAGGCTTGTGAATCAACCTTGAAAATACGACATCTGCAATGCGCCGCCCGCTTATTTATTGTAATTTGTATTACTATGCCTGTTTACACCAGGAAAGCCTGATAACTCTTCCGTGACCGTCCTGCCAAAGTATTTTTTTTGCGGTAAAGTCGTGGTGACGATTGGCGTGTGGAACCCTCGTTGTGTCACCGTCGTTGTCACTTGTGGCGCAGCGCGAGTGACGTTTGCGCGCCGTGCTTCACCGTGGACCTTCAGAGATGCCCCCCCTCCACCCCCCCAGCGTTATGTGAAATGTGTGGGACTTCGTTCTGATGTCACGGGACACATTTTCCCCCCTGTTCAAAAAACAATGTCGCAAATGTCTCAACCATCATTGCCCAGCAACATCGTCACCCCCTCCCGAACGGCAGACTCGCGCCCGGATTGCAGGCCACAGGTGCTGCCGATTCACATTGTGCCTCCTAGGGAAGCCTGCCGCTACCCCCTATGCTAGGTGCAACATAGCAGCAGTCATCACCCCCTACTGGCAGACTGATGCCCGATTGCATGCCGAGCGCTGATTCGCGTTGTGCCGCGTAGAAACGGCTGCTGCCCGGGGTGCACTGTGCTAGACGCAACATAGCAGGAGTCATGGTCCCCTATCGGCAGACTCCGATGTCTGTTTGCAGGACGGAGCCGTGTGCCACGCAGAGACAGCTGCCGCCGGGGGTGCCCCCTTTCGCTTACGCCGAGAGGCAATGCGCGTTGCTCGTTGCGTGTGAAGCGCTTCGAGATGCCGCGGCAGAAAGGAGGACGGCTCTGTCGGCTCCACCAAACCCAACTCACTGGGTCCCAACCATCTGGCGTCTGCCACCGTGATTGAGTGGGCGGGTGGGTGGGTGGGCGAGTGGTTAATTGGTGGGTGGGAGTGTGAAAACGTGGGTGAGTCGTGAATGGGCGAGTGGAGTGTGTTGTGAGCTGCAGTGCGGTGGTTTAGCCCTGCATGACACGACACGGTCCGTGTCTGTTGGGACCGAGTCTGCGGCACAGGCGGAAGAATCGACGCGTGAGTTTCACGGGAGCACTAAGCACGGTAGTCGTAGCGGTAGAAGAGTGGCACGGAAGCGAACTGCCAGCGACTGGGTGTGGAGTAAATCGGTGGGTGCCGGATCATCAATCACCGTGACTACCGCTTCACCCTCAATCCTGTTGGGTGCAGAGACTGTGTGTGTGTGTGTGTGCCACCCCAGATGTGACAGCAGCAGGATTACAACTTGACTCATGGCGTGTTGTTTGTTTTTCTCCTCTTTTGTCAGAATCGTGAACTTCAGATCATGAGGAAGTTGGAACACTGCAACATTGTGCGTCTGCGATTTTTCTACTACTCGAGTGGGGAAAAGGTAATTGCAGAAACCACTGCCGGCACACACAAGGATTGCCCGTGTAACCTTGAACACTGCCGGGACTGGTGCTGTTAGCGAACATAAGAGGGGTGTGAGTGGCCAACCATGCCCAGCCGAATCGCCTTTGTCTCCCCAGTGGTGATGCTTTATGCACATCGCAGCAGGTACTCGCGTAAGGGTGAGTGGTGGACCTCGGGGAGGCCCCGCGGTGACCAGCTCTCAGATATTCTTCACCGCTGTTATTGGCCGTGAGCGGCAATCGAACTCGGGGTCGCTGGATTCGCGGCGCGGCGCGCTAACCGCTGCGCCACCGCCCCCCCGCACAACCGCTGCCAGCGCGGCACGACCTCTCGCCCGTGAGCTTACGAGGACGACCACTCTCATCATCATCACAGCCCCGCAGAGCCGTTGGTGGAAATTCCACTTTCCTTTGGCGGGGATGAGTCTTATCCATAGGACAGCTGCTGTTGACTTCCTGATCAAGTGGTGCTCGTGTGACTTGAAGTGCGGGTCTGTGGAGGCGATGCACGCTGTGGTCCATGGCTGCGTTTCTTTAGTTTGGTCAACGGTGGTGGTGGTTTTATGCCAAACATTCTTGTCCTCCACCCCCCTCCACTACGCAATAGCCATGGTTGCACAGATAATACGAATATTGTTGTTCTTTACACGTGGACAATATTTCTGAACAAATTCTGTCCCGGTCAAACTGCCCCGCCGCGCCCGTCTCTCGAGACTTCTCGCCACCGAGTTCATCGGCGCTTCACTCCGACCGCTCGGTACGCGGTACGTAGTTTCCTGTAACCTGGAAGGATACGAGTTAAAATCCTGGTTGGGTGGCTTGACTCCACTGGACCATCTAAGAAGTTCTTGGCTCATCGGATTCCTCCGGGGTAAATCGAGATCCCCAGACTCTTTTGATTCCGACTCGGGCCCCATCGCCCGTCCGGTGGTGCTGATAAAAGGCCTCGCCGCTTTGGGGAAGTTCTCAGCGGTTTGTCTTGTGGATGGTTTGCCTCCGTTACAGGAATGTCGAATTCACCACCACTGACTCTGCAGGGGTGCAACTGGGAGGCGAGCACCAATGGCTCGACGTGTGATGTTCTGCTCGTTGTGCTTGTTTGCAACGTTGTTACGCCCCTCCCCCCCCGCCCCCCCGTAGAAGGATGAGGTCTACCTAAACTTGGTGCTGGACTTTGTTCCCGAAACTGTTTACCGAGTCTCTCGTCACTACAGCAAGGCCAAGCAGACCATTCCCATCATCTACGTCAAGGTACCGGCCCACACCGGGGACTTGTTGTTGTTGTTGTCAATTCTACCCAACCCCCCCCCTCTCCCACTACAACCGTGCTGAAGCCGAGAACACTTGTACTCTCGGCCGTGTGTATCGGACGGCCATGGTTAACACTCGTAGAGATGATCTGCTATGAAGCGAGCGTTCGGATAACCTCCGCGGTATAAGATAGAAGCACGATATTTGAGGTGGTGCTACTGCTGCCGCCTCTGTGTTGGCAGCGGTGCACAAATTACCAAAAAAGCACTCGACCCCATTGTCAGTAGAGATACAACAATAAGCGACGTTTCAGGCAATGGCCCTTCACGTCGCGTAGAGAATCGCACCGTGCACGTCCACCTGGCCCCAACGAAGTCCGATTAGCCCACGGCGTTGGTTTTTGAAGCCCCCCCATAACCTGCCGATGAGACCCCACCAATTGTCTCCAAGCACTGCTCGACTGAGGACCTGGGGCGCTGCGCGTGTCGGCGCCGGGGAGACGAACGCCGCCGTGCGCACGGTGCCGGCCAAGCAAACCCTCCCCCCTCCCCTTGTTCTATGCCGGCCTTTGTAGAGGCCCGCCACCAGCACTTGCCCCCAACAGCCCGTGTAGGCTACACGGGCGGTCTTTGTCTTTTGTTTGTGCCACGGGAGGAGCTCCTGGCCGCGGCTGCCGCTGCTGGAAACGAGGGCAAAGGTTCCCGAGGAGCCACTGCCCTGCTGGCACCCCCCCCCCCGCTGCTGCGTTGCAATGATGATGATAATAATAATTATAGCCTCGACTCTTGAGTCTGCACATTGTGATCTTGCTGTGGGCCTAAAGGGGGGGCGGTGATTCACGGTGACGCCAGGGGGGAGAACGCCACGGTGGCTCGGAGATGTTAACTACCTCGCCTGGTATGCAGGAGGTCGTGCGTACATGTGGTCACGTGGCTTTTCCTCAAGGTCCTCCGGTTTTTCCGTCCACGTATAGAATCAACATGATGCGTTTTAGAGCAGTGGCTCTTAACCTGGGGTGCGAAATGCCCTTTCTGGGGGTGCGAGACATGGCCAGATTTTTTGAGAGGGTAAATCATGGACACACATTAAGCTCCGGGGCACGTAAGTACAACTACTTTGTTTCATCAGACCCTATGCATTTATTAACATTGTCAACATTTTAATGATTAAGAACCGAAGGGGGGGGGGGGGGTGCAAGGCAGCATTAAAGGTTAAGAACCACTGGTTTAGAGTATTTGGCTGCTATAAGTTTCCACGTGATGAGCCACTTTGTTGAGCTCTCCACTTGTGATAGCCAGGACTCTTCAGAAAACGAGCTTGCAGCTCAGTGGAGCTTTACATGGTAAAATAAAATGTAGAATGTGTTTAATAGATCGACCGGGTGGTGATGCGATGATGAATCGCGGTTTGCGTTACCACGTTGCGTTGTGTTCAGGTTGAGGGGGTTTCGGTGCCAATGCTCGGTCAGTGGGGTTGGTGGGGTTGGGTGGTGGGGGCCCCGGGGGGGCAGGGAGGACAGACTGTCCGGGTCTGCCGCCGTATTATTATAACCGCGGATAAAGCGGAGCGCGTATATATTTAGTGGAGGCTGTTGGAAACCAACTTTATTGTTTGCCTTCGTAGATTCATGGTAGTGGGAGACGTAGAAAGAGTCTGGGGCCGTTTGTATTGTTCCTCAGACTCATCGGTTTAATTTGCCCAAATGTTTCAGTCGTAGACTTTCACAACCAATGTGATTTAAAATTAGTTTCTTTTGGGGGGTGGCTTGTGTAAATAAAACGTGCGTCGTAAACCCTCTCTGACCGTGCAGCCGGTTCATAAAAGTGTCGCGTGAATCAAACGAGTCTATCTTCTTACCGCTTCAGCAGCAGCGCAACTGGTGTTGTTGATGTTGGAGAGCAACCTCGCGACGTTAACGTCGGGGTGTACAACGGGAGCTCGCTTCTCACTCGCTTGCCTGCGACGAGTGGGGGGCCACTTGTGATTCCACATTATTCTCATCTCTCTCTCTTGTCTCTCTTTCCCTCCTCTCTGATTTAGCACGGTTTGCTACGTAGGGTGCGAAAGAAGTTCAACATACGGACATCTCGTCATTCTCTATCGCTTTCTCATCTCTTTCCTGTCTCTCGTCTCACGAGTTTATGTTCAGTTGCAGTGTTTTATCATTGTCATAGTCCACATGTGGCCACCAGTTGACTACTCCTGATCTCGAGAAATATGTGGATGGGGACCACTCTTCACTCTCACTGATGTGATGTTCATGGCTCTGCACCAAGTCGGGCGATAAGCGTTGACCTGTCTGGTGTCCGTGTGTGCCTGTGTATGCCTGTGGTATCTGTGTGTGTATGGTGTTTGTGTGTGCCTGTGGTATCTGTGTGTGTGTGGTGTCTGTGTGTGTGTGGCGTGTCTCTGTGTGCCTGTGGTACCTGTGTGTGTATGGTGTCTGTGTTTATAGTATCTGTGTGCCTGTGGTATCTGTGTGTTAGTGGTGTCTGTATGCTGTGGTGTCTGTGTGCTGTGGTGTCTGTGCCTGTGATACGTGTCTGTGTGTGCCTGTGGTATCTGTGTGTGCCTGTGGTATCTGTGTGTGCATGGTGTCTGTGTGTGCCTGTGGTACCTGTGTGTGCACATGGTGTCTGTGCCTGTGGTACCTGTGTGTGTATGGTGTCAGTGCCAGTGGTATTTGTGTGTTAGCGGTGTGTGTGTGACGTGTCTGTGTGTGCCTGTGGTACCTGTGTGTTAGTGGTGTCTGTGTGTGCCTGTGGTATCTGTGTATCTTTGTGCCTGTGGTGTCTTACATGTGTCTGTGGTGTCTGTGTATGGTGTCTTATGTGGTGTCTGTGTGTCTTTGTAAATATCTGGAGCGGTGCTGGGCCCTCCCCTCGCCCATCTTTCAGTCTTAAATGAGTGTACCTGGTGCGGTGTATATCCATCCGCGCTGGGGAGACAAAGGTGGCCGAGCACGGTTGCCAATCACAACCACCCTTTCGTGCGCCGTGCCATCCCATGATAGGTGCTCGCCTAACGGCACGATGTCGCGCAACGCTCTTGTGAAAGCCTATATGGGTGTGTGGGAATGTTTGTCTCGATCTCACAGTTGTACATGTATCAACTCTTCCGGAGTCTGGCTTACATCCACTCGCACGGAATTTGCCACCGCGACATCAAGCCCCAGAACCTCCTGCTCGACCCGGAGACGGCCGTGCTGAAGCTTTGCGACTTTGGCAGGTGAGACACGCGCACGACAACGATGGCGACGACGACAACCGCCAGCAAGCGCCGGTGACGTTACCACGGAGCGAACGATGCGTGCGCCAGGCTGGGTGAACCTCGAGACATCCACTCGTGCACGCGGACACGCGAGTGAGCAAGAGTGAGCGAGCGTGTGCCGCATCGCGCCGATGGTGTGCGATCGCCCCGCCGGTGTTGAGGGCCGCCGCGTCTCCCTGTGCCCCCGCGTGTGCCAGTGCCAAGCAGCTGATCCGCGGGGAGCCCAACGTGTCGTACATCTGCTCGCGCTACTACCGCGCGCCCGAGCTCATCTTCGGCGCCACCGACTACACGTCCAGCATCGGCACGTGCACATCTCGCTCGGATACTCAATCTGCAGCTCACTGATACTCGACTGCTACTCAGCCACTCACTAAGCAGCTCACTCAGCACCTCGCTGTGATACTCACTAAGTAGCTCACTCAGCACCTCGCTCTGATACTCACTCTGCAGCTCGCTCGGCTACTCGGTCGACTGCTCTCTGATACTCGCTCTACTACCCACTCACTAAACAGTTCACTTGGCTACGCTACTACTCGTGTAGCCACTCACTACAGCTCACTCAGCAACTTACTCTGTTACTGACTCCGCTACTCACCCAACTACTGAATCAGCAGCTCGCTCGGCTACTCACGCGGCTACTCACTTAACCGTTCCGCTCCCCATTCCGCTGTTCGCTCTTCTCCTCATCCACTCGCTGTGCCACTGCGCACTCTCCGCTGGAGCTTGCCTCTGTGGTGCCTTGCCTGTAACGTGGCCGTGCCGTCCCCCACCCCCCGGGTCTCCAGACGTGTGGTCGGCAGGCTGCGTCCTCGCCGAGCTGCTGCTGGGACAGCCCATCTTCCCCGGGGACAGCGGAGTCGACCAGCTGGTGGAGATCATCAAGGTATCTGGGCTGAGCTCACCTGGGTTCGATCCCTGTCACAGGCAGCCAACGCTCCGTCGCTTTGTACTCCTTTTGTTTTCGCCGGCTCGACCGAGCCGTGCCAGCGTGGTGCCGGTCTGGCATGGGTGGTTCTTTTCCACTCGCATTTTACCAACTCGTACCGGAAGTGCATTCTCATTAAGACTGTGTTCTTGACAAATGTGAGATTAAAGAAAAATCCTAAACGCTGTGGCTTTAAAAGGAAAAATCGATACTGCATGAAGACATCTGCTTAACAGTGTGTTTTAATTTTCAACGCTTTCCAAATAAGGTGAAAAGCGTGGTCATGCATGAGCTCCATCTTCAGCGTGGAGTCCCGATAACTCGGTTAGAGTTAATCTGATTTGAGAAAAACTCTCGTGTAGAATTACGTGGCTTTTAGGGACTCGCCGTAGAGAAAACTGGGACCCACACATCCACTCACCCATTCACTCACTGGCCCATCCAGTCACTTATCTACACACCCACTACCCACTCATCTACTTTGTCCGTCTGCGTGTAACGTGGGGTCGCGGTAACTCCCGTTGAGGTTGATGCGATGCGAGCGAGACTCCGGTGTGGGCGTTGCTGTGAGGGACTCCACGCTAGAGGAACCTGACCTCGTCCATCGAAAGCGTTATTGGCATTAAACTTGGAGACATGAACAAACAAAAAAACAAAAACGGCGCTAAAGTCACCCGCGTCGCCCTCTCCGGCAGAGCCGCCGCGTGAGCCCTGCGGCATTACAAACGTTGAAGCTATTTCGCACCGTACATAACCAACCGCGCTAATCTGAGGTGTTGGGAAAGGACAACAAGGAAAACGTAAAAAGCTGTTTTTTTTCGCCGTTCTGGACGGGTGTGCGTCGCCACCAGGTTGCTGGATCCACGTGTCACGCTCACGATCCCTCTCCCCGGTGGCGGTCGGTGCGCGTGTGTGTGCGCGTGTTTGTGTGCGTGTGTGTGTGCGCGTGTGTTTGTGTGTGCGTGTACGTGTGTGTGTGCGTGTGTTTGTGTGTGTGCGCGTGTTTGTGTGCGTGTGTTTGCGTGTGTTTGTGTGTGCGCGTGTGTGTGTGCGTGTGTTTGTGTGCGTGTGTGTGTGCGCGTGTTTGTGTGCGTGTGTTTGTGTGCGCGTGTGTTTGTGTGTGCGCATGTGCGTGTGTGCGTGCGTGTGTGTGTGCGCGTGTGTTTGTGTGTGCGTGCTCGTGTACGCAGGTGCTGGGGACGCCCACAAGAGAACAGATTCGCGAGATGAACCCCAACTACACAGAGTTCAAGTTCCCCCAAATCAAAGCTCACCCATGGACCAAGGTGACCGCCACTCCTCTGAACCTGGTCTCCGTCGATCACACGCTCGCGGTGCCTCTCCCCACCGCTCTACTCTCCTCTCTCACTTCCTGTCTCTCCCCGCCTCCACACTGTGTGCGTGTATCTCCATGCGAGTGTATCTGTCTTTGTCTCTGTGTGTCTGCGTATGTCTCTGTGTCTGCGTGTATCTCCATGCGAGTGTATCTGTCTTTGTCTCTGTGTATCTGTCTTTGTCTCTGTGTGTCTGCGTATGTCTCTGTCTGCGTGTATCTCCATGCGAGTGTATCTGTCTTTGTCTCTGTGTGCGTGTCTCTGTTTGTGTATCTCAATGCGTGTGTGGGAAGCGGTGGCGTTTAGCGCGCTGTGCTACAAACCTGGTGATCGGGTTCCATTCCCACTCACGGTCGACACCAGTGATGAGTAATAATAATTTACATTTATTAGTAAGGCGCCTTCCTCCCCTAGGCCAGCTCAGCCTGAAATGATTACCATGGTGCGCAACTCGGGAGACAAAGGCAGTCAGGCGTGGTGCTGGCTACCCACCCCCTCGTGTGCTGTACTGGCCTTCATAGGTGCTGCGCACCGCTCCACAAGTCTGTTAAGGCTATACGGGGGATCTTTGTGTGTGTGTGTGCGTGCGTCTCAATGCGTGTGTCCGTATGCGTGCATCCGTGTGCGTGCGTGTGTCTGCGTGCGTGTCTCAATGCGTGCGTGCGTGTGTCTGTGCGTGCATGTCTCAATGCGTGTGTCCGTGTGCGTGCGTCTGTGTGCGTGCGTCCGTGTGCGTGCATATCTCAATGCGTGTGTGTGTGTGCGTGCGTAGGTGTTCCGGGCGCGCACGCCGCAGGACGCGGTGGCGCTGTGCAGCCGCCTGCTGGAGTACACGCCCTCGTCGCGCCTCTCCCCGCTCGAGGCGTGCGCCCACGCCTTCTTCGACGAGCTGCGCGACCCCACCATGCGCCTGCCCAGCTCCCGCGAGCTCCCGGCGCTCTTCAACTTCACCCCGCATGGTGAGCGCAGACACACCAGCGGACGTGCAGACGTGCAGACGCACCAGCAGACGTGCAGACGCACGCACGGCCATCCCCTTGCGTAGCCTGCCAGGTGTCACGATGCGCTGTTGGTGAGTAGCACCTACCACGACCGGCACGGTGGGTGGCCAGCAGCGAGCCCGGCCGCCTTTGTCTCCCCCACTGGCGACGTTAACACACCGCACCAGCTACTTGTTTTACTGGTCTCATCTTATATAGATCTATATAGCGACTTATTCCAAGGCGCTTGACAACAATTATAAAATTGCATACAGGATGATAGTGGGATTGTTAAAAGTGGTGGTGTAGTTATGGTGACAGTTGGTGGTGTAGTTCTGGTGACAGTTGGTGGTGTAGTTCTGGTGACAGTCGGTGGTGTAGTTATGGTGACAGTTGGTGGTGTAGTTCTGGTGACAGTTGGTGGTGTAGTTATGGTGACAGTTGGTGGTGTAGTTATGGTGACAGTTGGTGGTGTAGTTCTGGTGACAGTTGGTGGTGTAGTTATGGTGACAGTTGGTGGTGTAGTTCTGGTGACAGTTGGTGGTGTAGTTCTGGTGACAGTTGGTGGTGTAGTTATGGTGACAGTTGGTGGTGTAGTTCTGGTGACAGTTGGTGGTGTAGTTATGGTGACAGTTGGTGGTGTAGTTATGGTGACAGTTGGTGGTGTAGTTCTGGTGACAGTTGGTGGTGTAGTTATTGTGACAGTTGGTGGTGTAGTTCTGGTGACAATTGGTGGTGTAGTTCTGGTGACAGTTGGTGGTGTAGTTATGGTGACAGTTGGTGGTGTAGTTCTGGTGACAGTTGGTGGTGTAGTTATGGTGACAGTTGGGAGAAAGGTTGGGAGTGTTTAAGGAGAGTTTCAAGTAAGGCTACTGCTAAGGAGTAGTGGTAGTGTTAGGGGTAGTGATAGGGGTTGGGGTGGTGGTAGGGGTAGTTGTTGGGGTAGTGGTATGGGTTAGGGTAGTGATAGAGGTTGGTGTGGGGGTGGTGGTGGTAGGGGTTGTGGTCGGGGTAGTGCTATGAGTTAGGGTAGTGATAGAGGTTGGGGTGGGGGTGGTGGTGGGGGTAGTGGTATGAGTTAGGGTAGTGATAGGGATTGCGGTAGTGATAGGGGTAGTGGTGTATGCCTGGTCGTATCTGGACGGCAGGGGCAGGGAGGTGAGCAGGAGGGGTGGGCTAGGGAGACAGAGATGGGTTCTAAGGCTGAGTGGACCTCGGGGAGACCCCGGATCGGGTCAGATATTCGTTCCCGCTTGTGGCAACGAGTGGAAGTCGCACTGGGTCACCGCGTGCCGTGGCGCGGTGCGCCAACCGCTGTTCTACCGCTCCTTGATCTGTTGTCCTTCCCCGCGTGTGTCAAATGTAAAATTCCTGTTCATGTTGACGCGGGTGTTGTTGTTGTTTGTATCAGAGCTGTCCATCAACCCGGCTCTCAACGCGACGCTGATCCCCCCCCACGCCCGCTGCCAGGCCGTCCCCACAGCTGCCGCTTCCGGTAACAAACAAACAGCCCCTCACAAACAAACTAACTAACCACCCCCCTCACAAACAAGCAAACACGCCCCTCACAAACAAGCAAACACGCCCCTCACAAACAAGCAAACACCCCCTCACAAACAAGCAAACACCCCCCTCACAAACAAGCAAACACCCCCCTCACAAACAAACAAACACGCCCCTCACAAACAAGCAAACACCCCCCTCACAAACAAGCAAACACCCCCCTCACAAACAAACAAACACCCCCCTCACAAACAAGCAAACACCCCCCTCACAAACAAACAAACACGCCCCTCACAAACAAGCAAACACCCCCCTCACAAACAAGCAAACACCCCCCTCACAAACAAGCAAACACCCCCCTCACAAACAAGCAAACAGCCCCCTCACAAACAAACAAACACCCCCCTCACAAACAAGCAAACACCCCCCTCACAAACAAGCAAACACGCCCCTCACAAACAAGCAAACACCCCCCTCACAAACAAGCAAACACGCCCCTCACAAACAAGCAAACTAACCACCCCCCTCACAAACAAGCTAACACCTCGCGAGCTTGGGACATCTCTACGCAGCTCTGATTTCCATTCGTATTTCAAAAGTTGTATTTGTGTGCGATTGCGCGTGTGTGTGGAGCGGTTAGCGCGCTGCGCTATGAACCCGGCAACCCGAGTTCGATTCCCGCTTACGGCCACCAACAATTTTAACGATTAATTATCTGAACCGGTCCTCGGCTTCCCCTAGATCGACTCAGCCTGAAATGAGTACCTGGTGCGGTGTGTAAACATTGGCACTGGGGAGACAAAGGCGGCCGGGCGTGGTGCTGGCCACCCACCACCTCGTGTGCCGTGCCGGCCTTCACAGGTGCTCGCTAACAGCACTCGCCCTAGAAAGTGTGTGAGGGGTACATGGGGGGGCATCTCTGTCTCTGTGTTGTTGTTATTACAAAAGCAACCGCGTCACAGGACAAATAGAAGACGCTGCGCGTATTTCTGTTGGTCCGTATCGTACGTGGATACTGAGGCCTGTCTGTTTACGTGTAGCCTTGATGCGCGCTTGTGTTGATAACGCCGTGTTTGTGTGTGTGTGTGTGTCCCTGCACCCCCCATCCCTTTACGTCCACTCTCCATCGCTCTCCATCGCTCTCCTCTCCCCTCGCCTCGTGTGACATCGCGAACCCTCTCCCTCCTCCTCGTCCCATCCCCGTCCTCCCTGCAACATCGCCTCCCTCAATCTCCTCCTCCTGCCTCACCAACATCCCTCAATCTCCTCCTCCTGCCTCACCAACATCCCCTGCCCACTCCATCCTCCTCCACGCTCTCCTCCACCCTGGCTCTCGCCGTCCCCCCTTCTCCGCTCTCCGTGTCCCCTCTGTCCACAGAAAGCAGCGCAGTCGGAGGCAGCAGCCAAGCGAGTACTGGAGGCGCAGCAGCCTCTCTCCCCAATGCTTCCTGAGCGCACACGCACACATACACGCACACACGCGCGCGCACACACGCAGCACACGTGTACGCACAAAGACAGACACACACACACACGTGTACGCACTCAATCCCAGCCCTTAACCAATCCTTCCGTATTGCTCGGTCCGTTCAATGTCGTAGCGTGAAGGGGGGTGTGGTTGTGGGAGGCCATGATTAGCCGGGCGGTGGGTGGAGGTCGACCCGAGGGTGGTGGGGAGGAGTGTGGGGGGGGGCGGGGTGCACGGCGCGAGGTGGGAGGTGTAGGCTTGTTGATATGCCGCCGGCGTTTGCGAAGGGGCCTCCATTGTCCACCGCCACCCTCCGCTCGCACACCGCTCCTCCCCACGCTCGCACACCGCTCCTCCCCACGCTCGCACACACACACACACCTGGGACGCCCCGCTCCCTTCCCTCTCCCTGTGAGCGTGTGTGCGAGCGAGCCGGCGGTGCGGTCGTCATGTAAAGGCGGCGGTGGGGTGGGGGGGGGCGTTGTCACGCGTAGTCGGTCGGAGTGAGACGAGCGCTTTGCTTACCACATGTTGTTCAGTTGTTAACCCAACAGCGGTGAGCAAAGTTTTATTGACGGCGTCGTCCTTGTCTATCATAATAATTATCGTTACCGTTATTAATTATATTTTACCGTTATTATTCCCCCCCCCCCTTCCCGCCCGTTGTTCCGTGCGAGACACAAAAAAACGAAAGAGCAAAAAGGTGCACAGATAGATCTCGGCTCCCCGAGGAGGAGGAGGAGGGAGGGAGGGAGACGCAGGTTTCTCTGCGTTCGGCCGTCGGGCTCAGCTCCGCACGACGGCAGCAACGGAGCGGCGAGTCGCGTGCGTGTGGGTGGGTGGGTGCGTGTGTGTGCGTGTGGGTATGTGCGTGTGTGTGTGCATGCGTATGCGTGCGTGTGGGTGCGTGTGGGTATGTGCGTCGGTGCGTGCGTGTGGGTATGTGCGTGTGTGGGTGCGTGCCTGTGGGTGCGTGTGGGTATGTGCGTGTGTGCGTGCGTGTGGGTATGTGCGTGGGTGCGTGCGTGTCTGACGATGTGGGTCTGTGTGGCGGGCGGACAGGACGGAGGGGGAGGGTGGGAGGCAGGCCGTGTCCATGCATTGGGGTACGTCACTTTCAAGGTGCGTGTCGGAGTGCGTGTCGGAGTGCGTTGTCAGCCTGCGTGTGTTGTCAGCCTGCGTGTGTTGTCAGCCTGCGTGTGTTGTCAGCCTGCGTGTGTTGTCAGCCTGCGTGTTGGAGTGTGACTGTCCCGTGTGTTTGTGTCACTTTCAAGGTGTGTGTCGGATGTGTGTGTGTGCACGCGTGGGGAGCGGTGAGTGTATTGGTATGTCACCGTGATGGAGTTCGTGGTGGTCCGTGTGTCTCGGGGTATTGGTGTCGGCGTTTGTCTTTAAGTTGCATCGGTGTGTGTGTGGAGCGGTGGTGCGGTGGTTCACGCTACGAACCCGGCGACCCGAGTTAGATTCCCGGCCACAGCCAAACATCAGTGGGCGAGTGTTATCTCAACTGGCCTCGTTGTTTAAAACCTATCGGCACTGGGGAGACGAAGGCTGCCTGCCGGGTGTGGTGCTGGCCACACCACCCAGTCGTGCCCTGTGCCGGCCTTAACAGGTGCTTGCTAACAGCACTTGCCTCAACAGCCGGTGTAGGCTGCACAGGGGATCTTTGTATTTGTTAAGAGAGCGTGTATCTGCACGGGGTGAGTGTGTGGTAAGAATGTGTGCGATTGATGGAGTGTGTATCCGTGTTGGACCATGTGTGTCAGCGCGTGTATATCACGGTGTGTGTGTGTCTGGGTGTGTGCGCGCGAGTGTTGAGGTTTCGGTGTTAGTCCACTTAACTGCAGCCACGCGGCCACGCGTGAGTTTTAAACCGTTGCACGTATGTCTCTCTTTACAGAGACGACAAAACGCGCACGAACACAACGCGCACGTACAAACGCGCACGTACACGCACACACTATTTAAAGCTACCCCACGTACACACACACACGCAGACTGGGTGCTATAGTCCGGTAAAAACCCCACACGAGTTCCATTCACCTGGACACCGCAGATGAGTTTAGCAGGTCAAGGGCGTGTGGCTGGCGGTGTGGGGGGCGGTGTGGGGGGCGGTGTGGGGGGCGGTGTGGGCAGGGTGGTTGGATCGGCGTCGGGGGGGGGGGGGGCGACGTGCTCCGCTGTGCCCACGGGCGCCAGGCACGATCCCGGCGTTGTTCCTTTTTGGCTTTTTAACCGGGGGTCAGACGGCGCGCTGGGTGGGTGGAGTGGGTGGGTGGAGTGGGTGGAGTGGGTGGGTGGGAGACGTTCTGGGCGGACGACGCCGCCAGGCATGCGCCCCCCCCCCCCGCCCGCCTCCCTTTCCTCTCCCCCCGCCGGTAGAGCCGCCGCCGCCGCCGTGTCTCCGTTAGTGTCTCTGTTTTTAAATTTCAGGTCTCGTCAAAATATGTTTTGGTGGCGTGTGAAACGGGTGGGGGGGGGGGGAGGAGGGGTTGTTTAAAAACGATCGCAGTTAGAAGGAAGGGATGCACGTAAAAAGCTACGGTGTAATATCGCTCGCACACACGCGCAGACACACACGCGCAGACACACACACGCAGACACACGCGCAGACACACGCGCAGACACATGCGCAGACACACACGCGCACAGGACCTGCCCCTCACCTCGCAGTCCGTTTTAGTTTGTACAGGTTTTAGTAGTATTATTATTGGTATTGTTATTATTGCTTTTATAATCTGTAAGTTTGAGGGACTTAGAGAGTTAAAGTAAGTATACAATTTACGAATGTGTGTGTGTACGTGCGTGTATTTGTGTTGTGTGTGTGTGTATACGAATACTGTCGTGTGTGCTTATTCTGTATATGACTCGTGTGTGCGCGTGCGTGCGTCTGTGTGTATATGAATAGGCTGTGTGTACAAGTGTATGAGTTAAGCATTAGGCCTATGTGTGTGAATGCATACGTATGAATGTGGATATGGTAGCGTCCTATTATGAAATAAGTTTGTAATTTACAGCACGTGGAAGCTTATGTAACGTGTGCGTGTGTGGGGATGTTAATGTGAACGCATGAACAAACCGTGGAGAAGTATGGTCAAATTATTCCCATCACGACGACCCGCACGGCTCTCGGGTGGCGGGGGGGGCCCTCATCCAGCAGTGGATCGGCTCGAGGGACGCACGCGTGTGAACTCGTACGCTGGAAGTAATGAACGCGACGTGTACGGACTGTGCGTGTGCGCGTGGCATTGCGCGCGAGTTCGCGTTGGTCAAGGTTCGCCCTCTGCTGGACAGCTCGACAAGCGAGAGGGCCCCCCCCCCTTGCTGGAGGGGAATTATTTGTCCTGTTCTTTCACGCTGGCCAGCGACGCCTTGGAAGAGGTGGAAGTTGCCCACATTTTGCCCCACCGCACCAAGGACCCTGCGGATCGATTGGACGCAGCGAGTTCGCGTGCGAACGGTGGCCATCGCGGCCGTCGCGTGCGCGCCCGCGAGCCGCGTGCGTTCACGAGCGGCGCGGGGAGAGCGGCGGCGCAGCGGTCGCCGCGCCTCGCAGCGTCACACAAACACCCCGGCGACCCGATTTCGATCTGCCGCTCGCGACCGATCACGGCGGCAGCGGCGGCGCGGATATTTATTGCAGCGGTTTCCGAGGCCATCACCTCGGTCGACTTTGCCTTATAAACGACACGAGTACCCGGTGTTGCGTAAAAATAAAAAGCAAACCCATCGTAGCCGGGGGAGACAAAGGCGGCCGGGGCGTGGCGCCGGCCACAACCGCACCCCCACCGCCGCCCCCTCGCTGGGACGCCGCTGCGGCCTTCACAGGGTGGCGCTCGCGGCACTTAGGGGGGCGGCTGTCGTATCGCGGCGACGCCGTGGGGAGGTGCGAGGTGGCCGTGGCGCTGCGTGCGTGTGGTCTGTGTGGCTGGGCTAGGATGTACGTGCATGTGAGTCAACAGTTACCCCCTGACCTTCGTCCCCCACGCGAGCATTTAAGGAAAAGTACATTAATTCCAATCAACTCCCACCTTCTCGGTTCAAACGCAGGTGTCGCACACACGACACTTTGTTGTACATAAATTCTGTATGTGCAAGCTTCAATTTTTGTAGTTATAAGTTTTATTTCTTCACGTGTTTGGCTGTCAGCTGCTATTAATCCATTTCTCTCCGTAACTCTTAATATATCTTCTTGAAAGCCCCTGCCCCTTCCCCTGTACATTCTTTTAAAGTTACGAGCGCTTCCCGGCGTAGAGGGGTTCCGCGCTCGTGCTGTGCGATTGTCCCGACGTTTCGCGCCGCGCCGCAGCGAGGGAGAGAGCTGCTGCGTCTCCACCTCCGAACGCCGGCAGCGGCAGCGGCAGCACGCGCCGGGCAACTCGACAGTTTAGTTCCTGACGAAGGCTTCCAGCCGCGTGGTGCGAAACGTCGGACGTCGTGCCGTACCGGGGCGCGCGCGCGGCACGACCCGGAGGGCGCATTGGGAGAGGGTCGAGCGACTCCGGTTTGTTTGGGTTCGGAGACTGTTTGGAGCTTCCTAGACCTCGGTTGGGTAGTAATGGCACACAGCGCGATGTGGAACAAGACCCAGACCGGTTTAGTTCACCGGGCAGTTGGTGTTGCCAATTTGAAACCACGGCGGCGGTGGTGGCGGCGATGGCTCGTAAATTCGAGGGCGTATAGCCGGCACCGCCGAGGTGTGGGGCCTGGGTTCGCACCCAGGTTCCGGCCACCCGTGATTGAAACCGGGTTCTCGAGCGGAGCGAGTCGATGGTTGCAGCCCGGTCGCCGATGACTGCACAATAAAACCCCGTCACATTACATTTGGTGCTGCCCTTAATTCGGCACAATTCCAGTTGCGAGAATTAAAGCATCGGATTCACGGACTGTCACGGGACGAACCGCGACTCGGTGGGCGGAGCGGGCCGGCAACGCTGGCAACTTGGCGTGGTGGACCGGAGCAGCCACGTAACCAAGAAGAAGAAGAAGGGATCAAGGAGGTAGCTCGGTGATGTCCACTTCCGCGGGCCATTCTCCAACAGGAAGGGGGCTGCACACTGCTCGGCGAGATTTCCGAATGGTTCCTCGTCCCGTGACGCCGGTCGCGCAATTGCGACTCAGAATAGAAATACTGATCCTGTAGGAATTCGATTGGCTTCCCAAGGCAATTTCGCAGATGCCCAGTCGGCCATGTCGAGGGACGAGACCCGTGGCCGTGCTGGGTGCTGAGGATGCGGCAGTGCCCTCCTCCCCCATGGACCCACTGAGACTCCTACCGAACACCAACATCACTTCTCTTTTAAAAAGTTGTCAATCCTGCGCAGAATTGGGTCCCGGCCGTGCCGTCAAATCGTCGTCCTCGTCTCAAGGCGACGGGCGGGCGGCGAGGGGGGCCGCGAGGGCCTCGCCACGTCGGGGACGGAGCCCCGGGGCGTGACGTGCGCGCCTCTTAACGAGGCCGCAGCGGCAGCAGCGGCAGTAGCGGCAGCGCCGCCGCCGCCGAACTTTGCCGGTGCGAGGCCGCCGCTTCGATTCCTTCTCCCCCGGGGAGCGTCAGTCGACAGCAGCGCGGTGTGGGAGTTGCTCGATCCGCCCCCTGCCCCCTCAGGCCACCCAGCGATCTGAGCCTCACTAAAACACACACCAGGCGATCTGACACTATAAAACACACCTCACGGATCATCCTGGCCGCGAAAGCCTTCGGGCGTGTTTAGCGCGGGAGAAACGTGCTCGCCGCGGTGAGGTCCTTGAGTGGTCGGGTCAAAGTGTGAGGACGCCCTCGTCTTCAAGACGTCTTGGCCGAGCGGGGGGGGGGGGGCGTAGAGGGGATACCAAACGCCCTCGAGAGGGGCTCGCGAGCTGCTCCTAGTACAGGGGTCTGCAACCAAAATTATCGGAGCCATGCTTCTCGAAGTTGGGTAAAAACTTGACTTAAAGCTTTCGTGACTGCAGGAATTCGTCTTCTTTGGGTCTTTCGGTAAAGTCACGTAGATAGGTTCAAAGAAAAAAAAAACTACGACGTTTCGATCGCACCACAAGTGGTCGTCGTCAGGAAGAGTGCGTGACGAAGCGGTCTTCACAGAGCCGCTGATGCTCTTGGGCGAGCAGTGACGCGAGGTGAGCAGTTGCAGGGCCGAAGCTTTGCCCGTGTCCACGCGCAGGCGACGTGGGCTGCCTGCGAGCCTGCCGAGGGCGCTTGTGGAGGTGCACAGCCTCCCCCCCCCCACACGCCCCCTGGCCCTGCACCCACAGAGTCAACGTGACCCTCACGCCCCCCCCCCCCCCCACTGTAGCTCGCTGCTGGACACTCGGGCGCCAAGGTGGCTGTGAGATGTTAACTCCCTCGCCTGGTGGACAGGAGGTCGTGCGCTGTTCATTCCGGGTTTGCGTGTCTCCCCCCACGGTCGCGTGGAATTGTCTCCGGGTTCTCTGGTTCTCCCCGCTATATTTAAAATCAACATCACGCGTTTCACACGAGGACAGGGACACGCACAGAGACGCGGACAAACACGGACATACGCACGAAGACACGGGCACACGCGCAGAGACCGAGAGATGGAGATGCGCGCTCGGTGTAAGTGGCCAGGGCCGGCCGTGACGAGATGGATGACGGTCCGGGATCGGAACGGAGTGGAGCCAAGGAATGGAACACGTCCAGGGGCGTCCAGGGGGCGCTCCGCCGAGGAGATGGAGCGGGGAAATCGGCTCGTGTGCAGCAGCAGCGACAGGTGCCCGGCGGGGTTGTTGTATCGCTGGATGGCGACTTGGAGCGGCCTTCATCCAGCAGTGGATCGAGCGCGGTGTTGGCGCGCCGGGTTGGAGTCCCGGACGGGCTCGTTTAATCCGTGGCGGTGATCCTGGGTCCGCACGGCCACGGGCGAGTTGCTGGCGCGGTGCAGAACAACGCCAACAGCGGGGAGACGAACACGGCCGAGTCTGTTGGTGTCTGTGCGAGTCTATTTCGGGTCTCCGTGGATCTCTGTGAGTCTGTTGGTGTCTGTGCGAGTCAATTTCGGGTCTCCGTGAGTCTCTGTGGGTCTCTGTGAGGCTGTTGGTGTCTGTGCGAGTCTGTTTCGGGTCTCCGTGAGTCTCTGTGGGTCTCTGTGAGGCTGTTGGTGTCTGTGCGAGTCTGTTTCGGGTCTCTGTGGGTCTCCGTGAGTCTGTCGGTGTCTGTGCGAGTCTATTTCGGGTCTCCGTGGGTCTCTGTGGGTCCGTTGGTGTCTGTGCGAGTCTATTTCGGGTCTCTGTGGGTCTCTGTGGGTCTGTTGGTGTCTGTGCGAGTCTATTTCGGGTCTCCGTGGGTCTCTGTGAGTCTGTTGGTGACTGTGCGAGTCTATTTCGGGTCTCCGTGGGTCTCTGTGAGTCTGTTGGTGACTGTGCGAGTCTATTTCGGGTCTCCGTGGGTCTCTGTGAGTCTGTTGGTGACTGTGCGAGTCTATTTCGGGTCTCTGTGGGTCTCTGTGAGTCTCTGTGGGTCGCTGTGAGTCTGTCGGTGTCTGTGGGTCTCTGTGGGTCTCTGTGAGTCTCTGTGGGTCGCTGTGAGTCTGTCGGTGTCTGTGGGTCTCCGTGGGTCTCTGTCGTCTCTGTGGGTCTCTGTGAGTCTATGGGGTCTCTGTGGGTCTCCGTGGGTCTCTGTGAGTCTGTTGGTGTCTGTGCGAGTCTGTTTCGGGTCTCTGTGAGGCTGTTGGTGTCTGTGCGAGTCTGTTTCGGGTCTCCGTGGGTCTATGTGGGTCCGTTGGTGTCTGTGCGAGTCTATTTCGGGTCTCCGTGGGTCTCTGTGGGTCTGTTGGTGTCTGTGCGAGTCTGTTTAGGGTCTCTGTGGGTCTCCGTGAGTCTGTTGGTGTCTGTGCGAGTCTGTTTCGGGTCTCTGTGGGTCTCATTGAGTCTGTTGGTGTCTGTGCGAGTCTGTTTCGGGTCTCTGTGGGTCTCTGTGAGTCTGTTGGTGTCTGTGCGAGTCTGTTTCGGGTCTCTGTGGGTCTCTGTGGGTCTCTGTGAGTCTCTGTGGGTCGCTGCGAGTCTGTCGGTGTCTGTGGGTCTCCGTGGGTCTCTGTCGTCTCTGTGGGTCTCTGTGAGTCTATGGGGTCTCTGCGAGTCCATTTCGGGTCTCTGTGGGTCTCCGTGGGTCTCTGTGGGTCTCTGTGAGGCTGTTGGTGTCTGTGCGAGTCTGTTTCGGGTCTCTGTGGGTCTCTGTGAGGCTGTTGGTGTCTGTGCGAGTCTGTTTCGGGTCTCTGTGGGTCTCTGCGAGTCTGTTGGTGTCTGTGCGAGTCTGTTTCGGGTCTCTGTGGGTCTCTGTGGGTCGCTGTGAGTCTGTCGGTGTCTGTGGGTCTCTGTGGGTCTCTGTGAGTCTCTGTGGGTCGCTGTGAGTCTGTCGGTGTCTGTGGGTCTCCGTGGGTCTCTGTCGTCTCTGTGGGTCTCTGTGAGTCTATGGGGTCTCTGTGGGTCTCCGTGGGGTCTCTGTGAGGCTGTTGGTGTCTGTGCGAGTCTGTTTCGGGTCTCTGTGAGGCTGTTGGTGTCTGTGCGAGTCTGTTTCGGGTCTCCGTGGGTCTCTGTGGGTCTGTTGGTGTCTGTGCGAGTCTGTTTAGGGTCTCTGTGGGTCTCCGTGAGTCTGTTGGTGTCTGTGCGAGTCTGTTTCGGGTCTCTGTGGGTCTCATTGAGTCTGTTGGTGTCTGTGCGAGTCTGTTTCGGGTCTCTGTGGGTCTCTGTGAGTCTGTTGGTGTCTGTGCGAGTCTGTTTCGGGTCTCTGTGGGTCTCTGTGGGTCTCTGTGAGTCTCTGTGGGTCGCTGCGAGTCTGTCGGTGTCTGTGGGTCTCCGTGGGTCTCTGTCGTCTCTGTGGGTCTCTGTGAGTCTATGGGGTCTCTGCGAGTCCATTTCGGGTCTCTGTGGGTCACTGTGGGTCTCTGTGGGTCTCTGTGAGGCTGTTGGTGTCTGTGCGAGTCTGTTTCGGGTCTCTGTGGGTCTCTGTGAGGCTGTTGGTGTCTGTGCGAGTCTGTTTCGGGTCTCTGTGGGTCTCTGCGAGTCTGTTGGTGTCTGTGCGAGTCTGTTTCGGGTCTCTGTGGGTCTCTGTGGGTCGCTGTGAGTCTGTCGGTGTCTGTGGGTCTCTGTGGGTCTCTGTGAGTCTCTGTGGGTCGATGTGAGTCTGTCGGTGTCTGTGGGTCTCCGTGGGTCTCTGTCGTCTCTGTGGGTCTCTGTGAGTCTATGGGGTCTCTGTGGGTCTCCGTGGGGTCTCTGTGAGGCTGTTGGTGTCTGTGCGAGTCTGTTTCGGGTCTCTGTGAGGCTGTTGGTGTCTGTGCGAGTCTGTTTCGGGTCTCCGTGGGTCTATGTGGGTCCGTTGGTGTCTGTGCGAGTCTATTTCGGGTCTCCGTGGGTCTCTGTGGGTCTGTTGGTGTCTGTGCGAGTCTGTTTAGGGTCTCTGTGGGTCTCCGTGAGTCTGTTGGTGTCTGTGCGAGTCTGTTTCGGGTCTCTGTGGGTCTCATTGAGTCTGTTGGTGTCTGTGCGAGTCTGTTTCGGGTCTCTGTGGGTCTCTGTGAGTCTGTTGGTGTCTGTGCGAGTCTGTTTCGGGTCTCTGTGGGTCTCTGTGGGTCTCTGTGAGTCTCTGTGGGTCGCTGCGAGTCTGTCGGTGTCTGTGGGTCTCCGTGGGTCTCTGTCGTCTCTGTGGGTCTCTGTGAGTCTATGGGGTCTCTGCGAGTCCATTTCGGGTCTCTGTGGGTCTCCGTGGGTCTCTGTGGGTCTCTGTGAGGCTGTTGGTGTCTGTGCGAGTCTGTTTCGGGTCTCTGTGGGTCTCTGTGAGGCTGTTGGTGTCTGTGCGAGTCTGTTTCGGGTCT